TATTTTATCAATAGTAATTAATAAAAAAATAATAATTATACCCTTATAACACGGGTGGGGTTATTGCCACCCTATTTTGATAATGCCACATCTAAAATTATAAACTGACATAATTACCCATCATTTTAAAAATAATTTATTTTTCTTTCCAAAGCTACCCTTTTTTACTTCTTTTAACCCTAGCTGCTGCAACCCTCATTCTACTTCACATTTTTCCCTTTCCAAAAATAAATTTGACTTTATTTTTCTTTTTCTCTAAAATAATCAAATTATTTTGGCCAAAAAACAAAAAAAAAAAACACAAATTCTGAATCAAATCATTCTTAATCATAATTGATAATGTAAATAATAAAAAGTTAAACATCAACTATCAAATGTAATTGAAAATATGAATATATAAATTAAACATCTTCTTCTAAAGGAAGTTCACATTACGAATTTGACAAATATGTTATACTAATAACGAGTACTGTAAATCCATCCGAATCAAAATTCACAACCTTTAAATTTCACAAACAATGTGCATCCAAGAAAGCACCCCAAAAGGCATGAAAAGTTTGAAGAAAATTCTACTTTGAGTCATCCATCTGCACTCATGAAAAATTTGCTCTTCATCAGTTAGATCATGAAATTTAAACAAGAAAAAATGCGTATAACAATGCTTAATAAAATGTCTATACTTACATGAAAATAAAGGAAACGAAGTTCCAAACTCATTAGCCTACCAAAACAAATAATAAGTTAGTTAACTGAATTTAAGTCAACAATTTATAATTAAGTTTAAAATATTGAAGTGAAAGCCTTACCTTATCTAATTAAAGGAAGAGACAAAATCCAAATCAGGTACCATATTCAAGTCAATTCCTCCAATCACACGTTCATCAAGTGAGTTAGCTACGGAATATGAGATTTGTTCACTAACTTTGTTCTTGCTGGGACATGTACGAATATCATGCCCAGAATTCTTACAACCACTACATTTTCTTCTTTTTTCCACAATCTCAAATCTTGAAGGATCTCTTTGCGTTGAGCTTGATCCCCTTTTTTGTTTTGAGCCAATGCTTGGTTCTCTCAAGGAATGAAGTGATGCACTAACAAGTTGAGAAATTGTAGCATGGGCTTTTCCTTTATGCATGATAGGCCATTTTTTAAATTTATCTTGCAATTCACTACGCATCTCTTTAAAGTTGTCCTCCTCATTCATCATCCCATCTGAACAAGTTAATGACAGTGAGTCGATCCTCCATTGTGAATGTATGGATGAAATAGGAAGCACCCCATCTTTCCAAGTAGTCATCATCTTGTGTGCGCATGGAAGGCCCATACTTGACAAAAAGTGACCTGTACATGAAGGATCCATTGTCCCATGTTTAACCATTTCATATTGCTTGTATAACTCTTTCAAGGCATGCATGGAAACTTTCATGACAACTTCCTTGAAGAAGGCATTGTTACAATTGTGAGGGATCCGAATTCTTCCACTAGAGAGTAAGGCTTTAATCTCTTGAAATTCATTTGTAATTGCAAGACAAATCTTCTCTTTTACTTGACGAAAATCACCAGTTGAAACTTACAAATATGCCTTCAGCTTAGCATGTGCTCCTTCTGCTCTTGAAGAGACCCGATGTTTGAAATGTGGAAACTTCTCTGCCCAAGCATCAACAAATTGCTCCTTAAATGGAAGCCATGTCTTTTCAATGTAAGTTAAAACTTCTCTCCTTTCCTTGTACAACTCTTCAAACAGCCTCCAATTCTTCTCAAAATCAATCTCACTTGAAGATCTTATTACTCCATTCCAAGAAGACATAAAAGCATCCCAATCCTCTTTTGCCTCAAAGTGACGCTTGCAATTTGACAATATATTTTTCTCAATGTGCCACACACACAAAAGATTAGTAGCACTTGGAAAAACAACTCGTATAGCATTCATCAAAGCCAATTCCCTATCGAAAATAATAACCAGCGGTTGACAATTAGGCCTCAGCACTTCTCTAAACATTGTTAAAGCCCAAACATAATCTTCTACTCTCTCCTTTTCCATGAAGGTAAAGCAAGAATAGAAAAAGGTATTGAAGCATGACACCCCAATTATATCAAGTAAAGGCATCTTGTATTTGTTTGTCTTGTAGGTGCAATCCATGACAAAAACATGTGAAAAACTTCTTGTGAGAATGATTGAATTAGGGTGAGCAAAAAATATATGTGTCAAGCAACCATTTTCATCATGCTTTATATTGTAGAAAAATTCACCTTCACCTAGTTCTTCAAATAATGCTTGAACCATGGTACGACCTCCCAATTTTTCTTCTCGAATCTTGCGTATTGAATTGTATACATTTCTAGAGATTGCTTGAAGGCCTGGATTTTTTTGCCTTAGTGATGAGAGAATTTGTCGTGTCGGTATTCCAGAAGAAGCCATTTCTTCAACACTGTCCATTTCTTCTATTGAAAAACAACGACAACTAGGGTGATCGGACATATCACTAGATGCTTCATGGTTATGGGAATCATTTATAAGTTGAAGTATCCAAGTACCATCACTTCACTTCCTACCAATAACTTCAAAAGGACAATTTATAAGCCGACTTGATGATTTCCTTTTACGAAGCTCTAATGGAGTATTCTGTCGATTCCGATAGACACCTCCTCTATCACATCCAATGCGCACAAATCTATCCTTTTTAGATTTCTTGATGGTTGTTGCATATCCATTTTTTAAATAAAATCTTTTTGTGCTTTGAAGGAGATCATCACGAGTTTCAAATGATTTCCCAAACAATTCAGACATTTCATTTTCTTCAGATTGTCCA